GTGTGGTAACCAATAGGGCCGGCTCCTTCCCTCCATGGACCTTCTACTAATTAGTGCTTAGGTAGAGCGGGGTCTAACCTTACCTATGGATGCCCCGATTCACCACCCTGAGAAAGCCGCAAGTAAGCTGTGGCAGCCAGCTGCCAGCTGCTAAAGATAAAGGGTCAGCTATAGGATTGCTGATAGCATGTGACAAGCTGCTGAGAGGATTCAGTGAGACTGTAAATGAAGGCTTTGGCCAAGGGCCTGGGGCACAGCTGGTGTCTAACACATGATACACACACACACACACACACACACTCCTCTCTAGAAGAAAAGCTCAGACAAGCTTCAGCTAGCACGGTCTACGGCGGGATTACTGATCCTGACATTCAAGGTCATGTGCAATTCTGTTAATGTTTCTTGCTGCTCTTCTGCGCATGTAAATCCTGCCCGCACGAATGATCTGTCCATCCTTGCTTGGTCCATGTTTGTCCTGTCACTTATTGTCACCTCGGTGTGACAAAATTCTTCCTTTTCTCCAAAGCACAAATCAAATGCTGGGTGTGTTGTTCCTGTTTCTTCCCCTCTTTACTGTCCTCCCCACAAGCAATCGCCCCCGCTCCTGGGAAGGCTTTTTGGCCATCTTCTCTCCTGCGGTCTCAGGGTGATACGAAGGGTTTTCACTGGACTCCTGACCCCAAGGTGGGTGCCCCAAGCCCACTTAGAGGCGCCTCGGTGAAAGGAAAGTAGGGGAAGGAAGATCTGGTGTGTCCATAAAGATTGTGGAATGGGGAACCAGTTGTTCTTTTTGGTGATGGGAGAGGTAACACTGAATATGGATTGAGTCCACACAGCTTGACCAAGGTAAATGATGTCACAAGAAAGTGCACACCACCAACCTGTCTTGGAAGAAGCACAGCCAGAATGCTCCTTAGAGGCAAAGATGGTGAGACTTTGTCTCATGTACTTTGGACATGTTGCCAGGAGACACCACTCTCTGGAGAAGGATGTCATTCTTGACGAAGTAGCCCCAAATCGAACTCACTGCCATGGAGTCAACTCTAGTCAGTGACCCTACAGGATGGGGCAGAGCTTCCCCTGTGAGTGTCTGAGACTGTGACGTTTAACGGAAGTAGAAGATCTCATCATTCTCCAGCACAGCCTCTGATGGTTTTGAACTGCTGACCTTGTGGTTAGCAGCCCAGCAAGTAACCACTGTGCCACCAGGACTCCTTGCTAAAGTTGAAGGGCAGCAAAAATGAGGAAGGTGCTCACCAAGATGGATTGGCACAGTGGCTGCAACAATGGGCTCAGGAGGCACAGGCACATTTGTGAGGAGGATGCAGGACCAGGTGGTGTTTCTTCTGCTGTAATTGTTGGAACTGACTTGATGGCACCTAACAGCAACAAGTCCGCAAGAAATACGAACATTTTTTAAATTTTTAATAAATCATTTTATTAGGGGCTCTTAGAGCTATCACCACAATCCATACATCAGTTGTATCAAGCCCATTTGTACTTATGTTGCCATCAACATTTCCAAAACATTTTCTTTCTTCTTGAACCTTTGGTCTCAAGTCCTCTCCACCCGCTCCCTTCCCCACCCTCCCACACTCATGAACCCTTGATAATTTAGTTATTTTCATTTTCATATTTTACACTGTCTGCCCTCTCCCTTCACCCATGTTTCTGTTGTTTGTTCCCCGGGTTGGAGGGGGATGTTGTACATCAATCATTGTGATTGGTTCCCCCTTTTTCCCCTTCTACCTCCACCTTCCCCCTACCCTCAGGGTATCGCTACTCTCATTATTGGTACTGAGGGGTTTATCTTTCCTGGATTCCGTGTGTTAAGAGCTCTTACCTGTACCAGTGTACATACTCTGTTCTAGCTAGTTTATAAGATAGAACTGGGGTCACGATAGTTGGATGGGAGGGAGGGAGCACAAAAGAACTAGAGGAATGTTGTGTGTTTTGTCGGTGCTATACTGCACCCTGGCTGGATCATCCCTTCTTTGTGACCCTTCTGGGAGGGGATGTCCAATTGACTACAGATGGGCTTTGGGTCTCCATTCCGACCCCCTTGTTTGAATTGAAATGTTTGTTTGTTTTGGGTCTTCTGATGCCTGATACCTGATCTCATTGACACCCTGTGATTACACTGGTTGGTGTCCTTACTTCCATGTGGGCTTTGTTGCTTCCCTGCCACTTGTTTAACTTCAAGCCTTTAAGACCCCAGAGGCTATGTCTTGTAATAGCCGGGCACCATCAGCTTTCTTCACTGCATTGGCTTATGCACTCATTTGGTCTTCAGTGATTGTGTTGGGAAGTTGAGCATCACAGAATGTCAGGTTATTAGAACTAAGTGTTCTTGCATTGAGGGAGGACTTGAGTAGAGGCCCAATGCGCATTTGCTACCTTGATACTTAACATATAAATATATGTACATAGACCTATATCCCTATCGTTATATATCAATATGTTTACATATGTAGATGCCTGTATTTAGTCCTCTATAAATGTCCTTTCCCTCCTAGTTCTTTCCTCTATTTCCTTTTACTTCCCTCCTGCCTATTATCATGTTCGACCTTCATGCGACTCTCTGTACTTCCTCTCAGCTACATTGCACTTGATTGAAACCCACCAGGCATTCTATGCCCTCCTCGCCATTGATTTTAGATCTCTTATTGTTCCCTTGTCCCTGGGTTTGTTGGCTCCCCCATCCTTTTCCTCCACCTCCTCCTCTCCCCTGACCCCCTGGAACCGTTGGGCCCATTGTTTTCTCCTCGGGATTGTTTATCCTGCCTATCTTATATAGATAGACATGAAAAAACAAAAAAACAAATAAGAGCCTGTGAACAGGTCCAGGTCTGTCTACTGACCCTTAGGGATGCTTTCTGATTGGGTCTGATGCAGTGCCAACCCCTGCCCCCCAAGTCCACAGCCTATTTTCAGAATTCCTTGGGGACTTTATTGCTTTGCTCCCCTTGCTGCTCTGTTGTGCTCCCTTTAGTTTACAGCCTGGTGTGTGTGAGTCCACTGTCTCTGGTGCTGCCCCCCGTAGCACTGTGGGTCAGTAAGGAAATGTTGTGCCTCATGGTGAGGCTGACCCTACGGTCCTCTCTGTGCATTGGGGCTCAAAGCGGGAATGTTGTCCTCAAAGCTTAGTGGGCCAGGATGCTTCTCTCTCTCTCTCTCTCCACCCCACTCGTACTTGTTCCCTGTGGTCTGGGAAGACCTGCCACTCTATGGGCTGTATCTTCAGTGCTTGTGAACTTTTTTTGGTAAGTGCTAGGACATATATAATTTTGCAACAACCAAATATGTGATACATATGTACTCATCTGGATGTTCATCTGTGTATAAAAAACAAAACCCATTGTCACTGAGTCAATTCTTACTCATAATGACCCTACAACAGAGCAGAGCTACTCTTTGGGGTTTCTGAGACGGTGAATCTTTACCAGAGCAGGCAGCCTCATGTTTATTCTGAGCATAGCTGGTGATACATATGTTTATGTGTATATGAATATAGATGTATCTCTATGTATATACACAGGAGCCTGGAGGCATAGTTTGCACTGCTAACCCCAAGGTCAGCAGTTCAAAACCACCAGAGGCTCTGAGGGGGGAAAAAGTGCACCCAGAGGCCACAGAAGACACCACCAGCTAGCTGAGTGTACCCAGGACGACTCTTGGAGGACCCCACACTTACAGCTCTGCCACCAGTCACCCACGTGCACCTGAGCCTGCACATACTCACAGGAAGAACTGCCCCAGCACACACATGCACGCCTATCTATCGACCAGGAGGAGTTCCGCCAGCCCCTCCTCCCCCAACCCAAACATACCCCTGAGGGCTGCCACCAGCCCCCCCCCACACACACACATACGTATCCACTAAGATAACTGCCATCAGGCCAACATGAACACACATGCATACCCAGAAGTGCAGGCAACCATACTGCCAGCACACACCCAAAGACAGCGCCAGCACTGTCATCAGGAACACACACGCTTATCCACCAGGAGACCTGACACCAGACACACACACACCAGGAGGGCTGCCACCACATACATACAAACACACACACCCAACAACAGGAAAACTATCACACACAGAAGGACTGCCACCACACACACAAGTACGCACTTGGTAGACTGCCACCAGCCATACATTAATAACCAGCAGAAGGACTGCCACCAGCCATACACAGGTACCCAGCAGGACAACGACCACCACACACACACACCAGGACCAAGAGGACAATGGCAGTCTCCCTAGTGGGTATGTGTGCTTGTGTATGCAGGTGATGGCAAGGTTTCTGGTTGATATGTATATGTGTTTATGGTGGCAATATATGTATGTGTGTGTGTGTGTGTGTGTGTGGGCATTCTGGTGGG